CAGGGGCTTGGCCCCGCCTGCGCTCCACCCTACAGAGATAGAGCTCGCGGGGATTAACCTCCCGCCACCTCGCGCCTCTCCAGGTCCAGCGGCCTCAGGACAAAGCTCAGACCCCCCCCGCCCCCACCCTTAGAGACCACGGAGGCTGGACCCGGGACCGGAGGCCATTTCCAGGAACCCGAGGGAGGAAACACCGAGGCACGGGGAGAAAGAAAGCGCGGCTCAAGACACCTGCCCGGACCAGGACGAGGCACCGAGAGGCGCGCACAGGGCTTGGGTTTGGGGGGAGGGTGGGGAGGGTACCCGGGTTGAGCTGGTTAGTGGAGGTGTCGCACAGAGGCTCCGGGATCGCAGCTGCTGGGAAAAACTCTTGTCCTCACGCACAAGGGAGTAGTTAAAAAATAACCCGTCTGGGCAGGCTCCCGGCTCCGCGGTAGAGGCTGGGAGACCCTGGGTTCCATCCTCAGCACCACATAAAAATCCATGAATAAAATAAAGATCTTGTGTGTCCATCTACAACTAAAAAATAAATATTATAAGAAATAATAACCCGTCTGCTCCTGCGGTTTCCGTAGTCAGGGACTCTTTCAGGGTGAGACTAATGGGAAGATCACCCCTGGGTGGGCAGGTGCTGATTTTCAAAATGGAGTTACTCACTCAGCCACATCCTCAGCCCTATTTGGTATTTTATTTAGAGACAGGGTCTCACTGCGTGGCTTAGGGTCTCGATTTTGCTGAGGCTAGATTTTGAACTCGATATCCTCCTGTCTCAGCCTCCAGAGCCGCTGAGAATTACAGGTGTGAGCCACCAGGCCCGGCTGCGAGTGCTTTTTGCTTATTAACTGGACCCCAGTTGGCTGCATCCCCGAGTCTGTACCCAGGAGCCCAGATAGCAGGACACAGTTGTCACCCATGATTCCTGCAGCCCCGTCACTACTGTCCAGGAAATACTCTACCTCTGTGCCCTCCTGTCCCCAGGTTATCCAGCTGCCAAATTTCAATATGGTTTTTAAAACAATCTCCACCAAGGAACAGTGGTCCCTTCACCTTCTCTGTATAGCCACCATTGCTCTAAGGCGTTGGAGGAAACCCAACTTTGTGGATGGGTAAAACTAGTTGAGGGCAGGCTTGCCTTGCACAAGCCAGACCCTGGGTTCCATCCTCAGGGATGGAAATGAAGAGACTCTGGTCCAGGTGAAGTTCATGTGGGATGGACTAGGGATAGGGCTCCAAGAGAGAGGGTTTGCTAGGATGGGGGAGGGGGGCAGGTTTGGTATGCAGTGCCAAAAAACCCCTTCTGTGAATAAATAAACAAGATCTGAGGCCCAGCACAGTGACCAGAGTTAAATGGTGTATTTGAAAATTGCTGAGAGTAGCTCTTCAGCGCTCTCATCCCACATGCCCAGGTGAGGTGGTGGGTGCTGATTAATCAAGTTCATCAATTGTGATGATCACTCACAATGTAGAAATATACCAAGTCGCCTCATTGCACACGGTAAATACGCGTGTATATAATTTTTTGTTGTTGTTCTTGGGTTTTTTTCCATTTGATACCAGGTATTAAACTCAGGGGTGCTTCACCATCCAGCCACATCCCCAGCCCTTTTTCTTTTTTTGTTTTGAGATTAAAGCCTCGCTAAGTTGCTGAGAATTTAAGTTGCAGAGGCTGGGCTCGAATTTGCAATCCTCCTGCCTCAGCCTGCAGAGCCTTTGGAATTCGCGGTTCACATGTTGACCTGTGGCCATTGGTCACGTCCCGCAGCCATTTCTCCCCCTTCCTAATCGCGTCCCCTAGCTCGGTTTTCCATTCCCCCTTCTCTGAAATGCCTTCTCTCATCTCCACCCTCTGGATCTCTCTGGGTCTCTCCCTTCCGCCCCTCCCCTCCCGCTCCGTGGGGGCCGAATCCATCCTCTCTGAAGCCCCCCGCCGACAGGGACTGCGCTCGCTGGCCGCCTGGCCCTTCAGTTCCTGCTCCCAGGCTAGGTGGCCTGGGGTCCTACTGGCCTTGGGAAAGTCCCTCGGCTCCCCTGACCCTTAAGACGAGAGATCGCGGCGAAGGTTCGGTGAGCGCGGGGCACCCGCACGGGGAGCCCACCGCCCGGTGCAGAGGGCTGCGCTGCGTGCGGCGCCGTCGGGTTCCCGGGCGGGAGCTGGGGGAGGGGCGTCGCTTCATGAAGACGCCGTGGTTTCCCCGGGTCCCCTCCCCCACGTCATGAGTCCCAACCTAATCCTCCCTAATTCCCCGGCCATTCTGCTGAGGCTTGGACCCTTCTCCTAAGAGGATTGGAGCATTTGCTAAATTAGTCCTGTCCAGGGACACAGGCAACATCCAGGGACGGGGGAGGGTCCGGAGGGACAGAGACAGATGGGAGGGATCGAAAGAGAGAAAGGAGAGAATTGTTCACGTTCAGAAAGACCCAGAAAGGAAGCAGCAGGGCGAGCAAGAGTAAAAGGCAGGACTGGGACAGGGAGTGCATCATCTCAACAGGACAACCTGGACGCCCAGTTCTACTCCTTCCCACATGAGGGACCTTGGGCAATGCCCACCCCCACTCTGCCTCAGTTTCCCCATCTCTGAAACAGGGATAATAACAATAATCTGTCTGAGGGGTTGTTGTAAAATTTAAAGAGAGCCAGAAGCCGTGGCACAGGTGGAGGCTGAGGCAGGACTGCAAGATGGAGGCTAGCCACAGTAACACAGCAAGGCCCTGGACACCTTAGGGAGACCCTATGTCAGAATAAAAACTAAAAGGGAGAAAAAAAAGGACGTAGCTCAGTGGCTAAGCACTCCTGGGTTCAATTCCTAGTACCCCCAAAATTGCAGAGGATTCCAGACCTCCGCCTCTGTTCTTTTCTTTTTTCTTTTTCCCTTGAGACAGGGTCTCACTAAGTCGCACTGTGATCTGCCTGCAGCCTCCCAAGTTGCTGGGACTAGGGGCTGTGCCACCCGACCTCCCTGCCCATATTCTCCCTTGAGTGGCTGGGACCCTGCCCTGGAAGGACAGAGGGTGTCTCTGCCCCAGGGATTCTGCCCTTCCAGGAAAAAGGTGAAAAATCACAAAATCACCCAGACTTCACCGGATTCAGCATTCGTTTATTCTTACTCTGGCTGGCCAGGGAGGGGACCTGGAGTGCCCGAGAGTGGGGAAAGGGAGGACAGAGGCGGAACCAGGGAGGCACCCGCCTAGTTCTTCTGTCCCCACTCGCCCTGTCAGCTTTTGTGGCTTAGGAAGCAGGACATTTGACATCCGTGGTGCACAGCTGGGGAAATGAGCCCAGGAAGAGGGACATGGGCCTCCTGAGGTTCAAGTCCTTGCTCTGTGCAGCTCAGAAAGTTCTGGAAGGTTCCCCAGCACCAGGGTCTCTTGAAGCTCACCCTGTTGACCCTGGGCCTCTGGGACATTGTGTTGTGTTGTGTCCCCTCCCCTCCCCATATCTTCACACAAGCACCCTCTGAATTATCTGCACAAGACACAGACCTCCCAGTGAGAGGGCAGAGTCCAGTCCTGAACTCTTTGCACAGACTCAGCCCAAGGCCATCTCTTTCCCATCCTTTCCCTGTGGATTCCGACCAGGTTCTTAGTCTGCACCCCAACATGGGTCATCTGTTGTACTTGCCACACTGGACCCTGGGCCACTCCTGAGGTTCAGGTCCCAAAGCCCAGGATGACTCAGGCCGCAGAAGTGGCCGGGCTGTTCCAGGGCCCCAGGGATCGAGCCTGCCCCGGGGTCGTGCCCAGGTGTGCCCCTCTCCTGGTGTAAAGCTGGAAAAGCCATCTGACCCCTCCCAGCCTCCATTCCCACCAGGCTTTCTCCTCTGACCCCAGGGGACAGAGATTGGGCACATCCATGCCAAACTCCAAGCCTGGTGACCTCAGATGGACAACTTGGGAGCAGCCACCCAGGGAGCATTTATAGCATAGTAACTGGCAGACGCTCCAAGCCAGGGCTCCGTGGGGAGGGCCTGCGGAGCCACCACCAACACACCACCCCCGCCCGTCCATCCTTCCTTCCCATTCGACCTGCAAAAGCCACTCTTGAAAGGCTCTTGGCTCCGCCTCCCCCACCCCAAAGCATAGCCAGGAGGTGGGCCAGAGCACCACACTTTCAAGCTTTTCTCTCTCTCTTTTTTTTTCTTTTTTCAGTGCTGGGGATGGAACCCAGGGCCCCCTGCCTGCCAGGCCAGAGCTCCACCCCAGAGCCCCTCTCCAGCCCAGCACCCAACTCGCAGAGCATCAAAATACCTGGATCCCTCAAGTTCTCACAGTGCTTGTTGGTGAGTAAAACTGTATTTCAAGAAATAAAGAGGGCTGGAGATGTAGCCCAGGGTACAGCCCTCCTGGGTTCAATCGTTAATCCCCAGTGCAGAAAAAAGGAAAAAAAAAGAAAAAAGAAAAAACATACCCACAGACATATCAGACATTTGTTTATCCATAAACATCACACGTCCACGTATCTCATAGTCATGCATTTATAGGAAAGGGCCTCTGAAATCTACCATGTAAGCCTGACATTTGTGAAGTCTGTAAAGTCTCCGAGCGAATTTTTTCACATAGCTGTATAATTAACCTAAGGTTCCCAGGGGAGCCTCTTAGAATCCACCCTTGGAATCTCTGGGGATCCTACCCATGTGCTGAGGAAGTGTCCTCGTGGACAGGTAAGGGACAGAGGCTCCCCTGTTGTTCAAGGGTGCTGTGATTCTGACCCGATGGTGACCCCGTCAACTGCACGGTGAGTTTGCTTTCTCCTTGGACAGGTCCCAGCACAGGTCTCTGAAGTCTGTGGCCGAGGCTCTGAGTGCCAGTCCCCGGCTGTGGGGCGGCTGGAGTGGGGGGGCTGCCTGGGGCCAGCTGCTTCTGAGTCTCAAGACGGTGCCCGAGGAAGCCTGGCTGTCCTCAGTTCTGGTTGGTTCTGGTGGCTTTGCCATCCCTGAAACCTAAGCGGCAAGGAGGCAGATTCAGAGGGGACCGGAGGCCAGGTGAGGCTGAGGGAGCATCTTCTACAAGATCTGAAACTTCCAGGCACTCTGATCCTTGTAGTCTAGAGGGTCCATGGGGTTGTAGGTGAACTTCCAGGTGCCGGTGGGGTCCTTAAATTCCAAGCTGTCCACGGGGCTGTAGGCACCGTAGCTCTGGCCAGACAGGGAGGTGGGGGACTGGGCCAGGGAGGGCCCCACGGAAGGGCCCGAGAGGGGGCTGAGCGCTGGGCCTCCCAGCTGGGGCACCATGGGGGACAGGTAGGGGTCCAGCCCACTGAAATAGGAGCTGGGAGAGCCGTAGGCCGACGGCGAGGAGCAGAAGGCCGAGGCCGGGGCGTAGGTCATGGCGTAGGGGGCTGAGGTCAGAGAGGGCCCCGAGGCCACCAGCCCAGCCCGCTGGGCTTCAGGCAGAGGGGACTCTGACGCTGGACTCCAGATGGACACAGTGGCCACTGCCGCAGTCGGGGAGCCAGAGGGGCCAGGCAGAGGGGGGCTGTAGGAGTCGGAGACGCCCAAGGGGTCGGGACACACATCCGGGGAGGGCCTCGGGGAGGTGCCCGCCTTCCTCTTGGCAGGACGGGCCTTGGCCTGTCCCCCAGGAGGCTGCTGCTGCTGCTTCTGCTGCTGCCGCTGCTGCCTGCACTTGGCCCTGCGGTTCTTGAACCAGACCTGGGGGGAGGAGGGGGCTGGGCTCAGTGAGTGGAGGGGGATCCAGAGCCCTCCAGGGGCCAGGAGTGAGCAGGCTCACAGGCGACAGGTGCCAAAGTCACATGTCTCCACTCGGCTTCCAGTTACGTGGCATCTGTTCCTCCCCGATGCTGGCCATCCTGCCACCGAGCATGCGCACACAGGGCACTCCTGCATACACCCACTCACTGACTACGCATGTGAACACACAATCGTGCACACAGAAATCATGCACATCCACTCACAGCCTCCCACATACAAATGCACATTTACCCACCCTATCATGCGTGCATATGTTCCTCCATCCTCCGACATACATTCACATGTGTGTATATACACATAAGTGCACATACATGCTGTGTATGTGCACACATACGGGCACGCACGTGAGCATACATGCACATCTTTGCATGCATATACACTTACGTGCACATACATACACGTACATGCGTGCATATACAAATACGTGCATGTACACATATATACACATACATATATACAGGTACAAAAATACATTTGTCCAATTATACATGCAAGCATACATATACACACATCACACATGCACATGTTCATTCATTCTTCCCCCATCCAACTGCGCAAGCACACATTCATATACTCATTCAACGGCTGGGGTGCAGCTCAGAGGTGGAGCGCTCGTTAGCCCGTGCAGGGGCCCAGGTTTGATACCCAGCATGGAAAGGACACGCGTCTCTCCATCCATGCACCATCTGATCAGCCCGTTCAGTTAGTCACCATCTTCTACTACTTGGGGGATACATCAGTGGAGTTGACAATCTAGTGGGGTGAGTCTTAAGTGAACAGTAAACAAGTCAATCACCGTATTTGGGGAGATGATAAATACTTGGGAGAAATAATTGAGCTGGATAAAGGGGAGCTGTAGAGCTGAGAGCGGGAAAGACTGAGATTTAAAATGCTCTGGTGAGTGGAGTCTCCTTGACTGACCGAGGACTTCTGATGGACGGATTGATAAGCAAAGGCTGGTGCAGTGATTGGACACGCCCTTTGGTTATCTGAGGACCGAACACTGCAGGTGCAGGACACAGCGAGCGCAAAGGTCCTGAGATGGGAGTGCGCTTGGTAGACAGTGGGGTGAGAGCAATGGGCGGGGCGGTGACAGTGACAGAACGGGAGTCAGGGAGGCTTGGGCCACTTTATAACTTTGGCTGTCCCTCTGTGGCGCCTCCCTCCTCCTTTCACTTGGGGTCTGAGGAGGGGCCCAGGAAGACCACAGGGTGGGAGGGACCAGAACCCCCACCTGGACCCTGGACTCGGGCAGGTTGATCTTGAGCGCCACCTCCTCGCGGGCGTACACGTCCGGGTACTGCGTCTTGGCGAACAGAGCCTCCAGCTCCTCCAGCTGGCTCCGGGTGAAGGTGGTCCGCTCCCGCCGCTGCTTCCTCGGGGCACCTGATGGGGTGCAACCAGGGACCTCGGGTTTCTAGGGGTGCCGGTGGGGCACCCTGAGGACGGGCGGGACCCCAGGAAGTCCCTCGTGGGTGTCCAGGTGCCTACGGGACCCCAGATGCCTTTTTGACCTTGTTCTGTCCCCTGCAGCGGGGCTCCCTGGGGGAGGCGTGAGGACGGGGCTGCCGCTCGCCCCGCGCCTGGGGCCCTGAGCACCCCAAAATGAAGCCCTGGGTGGCGATTAGTCATCCTCATTATTATTACTATTATTAAACAGGAGGTGTAGACGAGGTTTTTCCCACTTTCTGAACTTTCTTTTTTGTTTGTTTTTTGGTGTGAGGATTGAACCCAGGGGCACTGGCCACATTCCCAGCCCTTGTTAGTTTTCATTTTGAGTCAGGGTCTCGCTAACTTGCTGAGGCTGGCCTTGAACTCTGGCCTCAGCCTCAGCAGTGCAACCTCACTGCGTTGCCAGGGCTAACGCTGAACTCCTTCTCTAAGAGTTAGCTGACTCCTTATGGCTGAACTTCAACCATTCCTAGCCTATGAAAGTGGCAAATGGGTACAGTTCAACTGCAAAAGAAAAAAAATATATATGGCTATAAAGAACAATGCCGTGAAACATTGAATACCCATTTCTCTTAGAAATAAAGCTTTGCCTGGGCGTGGTGGTGCACACCTGTAATCCCAACAATCCTGGAGGCTGAGGCAGGAGGATTGCAAGTTGGAGGCTAGTCTCAGCAACTTAGCCGGACCCAGCCTCAAAATAAAAAGCCAAGAGGGCCAGGGATATAGCTCAGTGCTCTAGCTGCCCTGGGTGCAATCCTCATTATCTAAGAAGAAAGGCAGCTCGCCAACTTTGCGATCAGATGGAACTTCTTCTGGGTTCCCCTTCCAGATCACCTTCCACTCCCTATTCCCTGAGGGAAACTCCACCTTAACTTTCTAGAAATGCCCTATGCTCTTGTCCCTAAGTGACGCGTCAGTGTCACAGTGTTTTGCACAGGGACCTGGGGTATGGCCTCTGAGTCACCCTGATAAGCACCTTCCTCCCAGGGCAAGAGACCCCGGAGGACCTCCCCCAGAGTGGGGCAGGAGGGAGGCAACTCACTGGGGTAGGGCACAGCCTGGTGCATCAAGTCCACACTGGGGCCACTCAGGGCCAAGGCGTTGACGGAGTAGTGGGGCCCCGGGTTCATATATGCCATCATGATCTTCGGGGGTGTAAGGCCCAGGTCAGGGACCTGCAAGAGAAGGGAACATTGAGATGTGACCTTGGGCCGTTCATCCTGGGCCTCAGTCTACCCCACTGTACAGTGGCCCTCTGCAGGAGGCTGGCCGAGCTGAGCGGGCCGCAGAGCAGACCACGGGAGCCAGGGGGCTCCTCCATGGAAGCTCCTGTCCCCCTCTGTCCCCGAGGCCTGATCTCAGCACTCTCTGCTCCCCACGTCTTTGCTCTCTGTGCCTGACCAGGGAGAGTAGGTGACCAATGGTCCCAGCTTCTCCAGGGTGGAGGGTTTCTTGGGATCTGGAACTTTCAGTTCAGAAACAGGAAGAGTCTCAGACAAACAGGGTTGGCTGTCACTTTGTCACACTAAAATGGCAGTGATACTAGGGTTGTAGCATGCGGGAGGCCCTGGGTTCCATCACAGAGTGGAACAAACTAGGAACATTGATCCAAATAAAATGCCCAGCATGCGCAAGGCCCTGGGTTTGATTCCCCGGCACAAAAATATACTTATTTTTGAATAAAATGCCATCTTTCCTTTGTCCCAGCAATATGCCTTCAGTATGGACACATTTACATTGCCAGCCAGGCACAGTGGCTCAAGCCTGTAATCCTAGCAACTCAGGAGGCTGAGTCAGGAGGATTGCAAGTTCGAGGCCAGCCTCAGCAATGTAGCAAGGCCCTAAGCAACTTAGCAAGATTCTGTCTCAAAATAAAAAATACAAGGACTGGGGATGATTCAGTGGTAAGCACCCCTGGGTTCAGTCCCGAGTACCAAAAGGAAAAAATAAATACATAAATAAACTACTCTCTGTGAATTTTTTTTTCTTTTTTTGGTTACCTCCCCAGGCCATGTGAACAAATCTAGAAGATCTCTAGCACAATACTGAGAAAAATTATGCTAGGCAGAAGACAGTGTCCCAGCCACATCGTTCTGGAGCCTTGTCTAACACAACCATCTAAAAACTCCAAAGACAACTCCACACACTGCCCCCAGGACTCCCCCCAGGACTGCGTATTGAGCCCAGGGGCACTCTACCCATGAGCTACCCCCGCAGTTCCTTTTATTTTATATTTTGAGACAGCATCTTCTTAAATTGCTTAGAGCCTCACTGAATTGCAGAGGCTGGCTTTGAACTTGGGATCCTCCTGCCTCGGCTCCTGAGCGGCTGGAATTATAGGCCTGTGCCACTGCGACCAACCGGCTCAATAAATGTTTTCTAAKCCTGCTCTAAGAACGAGGGATGTGGCGGGAAGTAGGACACTAGAGGCTGGGGACACAGCTCTGAGGTACAGCGCTGGCCTGACATGCTGTGGCCCTGAGTTCCCTCCCGAGCACAGGGAAGAGGCCAGCAACCAAGCAGCTCTGTTCTGTGAGGCTGAAGTCCTGCGTTCCGCTCAGAGAGACCAACAACAACACAAACCAGAATTTTTTTCCTTTTTTTTTTTTTCCTTTTTTTGTGGTGCTGGGAATGGAACCTTATGGCCTTATGCACAGGAGGCAAGCACTCTACCAACTGAGCTATATCCCCAGCCCAGATTTTTTTTTTTTTTAACCCAGGGGAGCTGTACTTAAGAGCTCCATTCCCAGTCCCTTTTTTAAATTTTTGAGACTTAGTTCCTAAGGGTTTTTGCTAAATTGCCCAGGGTGGCCTCCAACTTGCAATCCTCCTGCCTCAGCCTCCACAGTTGCTGGAATACAGGTGTRCACCACTGTACCCAGCCAAAAACAATCGTGTTAGATCCTAAGCATGAAATTCCCTGCAAGGAGGAGCAATAATCCTGACCCCTTGACATTCACATCCTTGCGTGGTCTCACAGTGAGCAGGGCTGACTGTGTAACCCAGAAAATATTGCAGAAGACCMGGGGTAGCTTACGCCAGAGCACAGGCTTAGCTGCTCAAAGACCTGGTCTCCACCCCATCACAAGGCTAGCTCTCGCCCTRAGGAAAACCAGTTGCCAGGGTCCTCAGGACACTCACACAGTCCTGCAGGACATCTGTGGGCCTGTTGGCCTGGTGCGGACAGCCTCCTGAATGAGCTCCCAGCAAAACTGTTTCCCTGGGGCGGGGGCGGGGGCGGGGGCTCCGTGGTGGAGCACCTGCCTCGCATGTCTGGAGAACTGGGTTCCATCCTCAGCACCACGTGAAAATAAAGAGACTGTGTTTTCATCCACAACTAAAAAAATACTTAAGAAAACAAAAAATAAATTAAAAAAATAAAATAAAAAAACTGTTTCCTCAGCCCCGGGACAAGCGGTTAAGTGACTTCAGTCCTGGTCCCTATCTGACTCCCATGTCATGAGACACCCAATAAACTGCTCCTGGATTCTTGGCCCCCAGAAACTACACAARGTCATTGTTTATCGTTCCAAGCTGCTGACTTGCTGCTGATTGGGGGACATTTTCTACATAGCACTAGATGGCTAATTCTCCAGCCTTCCCTGTGCAGGCAGCATGTCATTAAGTCCCCAGCATGACCTTGGGAGGCACAGACTGGGTTACTGGAGGCTCCCAGTTTAGGGATGAGAACTCCTCCAGGCTCAGACCCAGGATTCCAACCTTCCTCTCAGCCCCCGCCCAGGCTCCCTCTGTCCTCTCCCACTTCCCCAAGGAGCAATAATGGGTGGGACCAGGGGGTACCCTGCACTTGCCCCGATGGGGACCATTGGCAGGGCCTAGACTTCCCGTCTCCACCACTGAATCTGCACTGGGTCACCAGGCTGAGCAGCAGACACTCCGGAAAGCCTGGGGTTCTCACCTGGGACCCTCCGTCCTGCAGGTGGAGAATCTAAAGGCCAAGGGGGGACGGTACTTGCCCAAGGTCAAGGGCTGCTGATGAGCTTGGCCTCCAGGAGCTCAAGGCTCATCCACCCATCAGGCACCCAGTGAGCCTCACAGACCAGACAACAGCAAGAAACAGTAATGATAAAAACAATGTGAGCCCGCTCTGTGGCCCATGACTTGGGAGGCAGAGGCAGGAGGATTGGAAGTTCAAGGCCAGCCTCCGAAGCTCAGGGAGACCTTGACTCAAAATAAAAAGGACTGGGAAGGTGGCTCAGTGGGTAAGTGCCCCTGGGTTCAATCCCCAGTTAAAAAAAAAAAAAAAAAAAATTAAGTGCTAGGGATTCCCAGAACCCCCACCAAAAAACAAAAAGTGACGAGGATCATCTCCTGATCCCTTTCTCAGGGTTCGGCAGTTTCTGACCTAAGGACTTCCAGAGATCATTTGCAGACATCCATCCGCAGCCTTCTGTGCAAAATCTCTAGGGATGCACATTCAACAATTCCCACCATTCCTCGGGAGTTGACACTGTGCCCAGCAGCAATTCCTGCACGGCTCCATTATTTTAATTTTTCTCTTTCTTTTTTCTCCTAGACAGGGTCTCGCTAAATTGCCCAGGATGGCCTCAATCGGTCAATCCTCCTGCCTCAGCCTCCGAGGTGCTGGGATCACAGGTGTGCGCCACTGCACCAGCCCCATTGAATTTTAAACGGGGAGGATTCACAATCTTCTGGAGGCCCCTGAGTAAGGGACTTCCGGGTCCCTGCCTTGGCCAGCAACCTGTGAAGCCGGAGGCTGGTCCTCAGGGCCCCTGCTGTTCAGCGTCCACTGGGTGCCAGGTCCCCATCTAGCAGTCCTCCTCACAGGTGGGCTGCAGGCGCACACCCACCTTGGGGACAGGCACGCAGGTGACCCTATTCTACAGGTGCAAGGCCAGAGCCTGCCACGGAGGGAGACTTAGGCAGCTGAGGACGGCAGGAGCTGCCAGGGACTCCCAGCCGCTCAGACTTTGCACCCAGGGTCTCGGAGCCGGGGAACAAGAATCCAGGGGAATGTCCCTGAGGAGCTTCTGTATCGCCCTCCAGAGGAGGAAACTGACGCTCAGAGAGGACAGATCCTGGGCCTCTGTTAGGACAATGTTAGGCCCAGGCTGTGCCCTCCTGACCACTGAGCCACAAGGCCGGAGGAGGCTCTCCCTGGAGCCCAGAGGTCCACTCCTCAAAGGAGGAGACCAGACCAAGAGAGGCCCCATCAACCCTGAGGTCCCGTGAGTGACCTCGTCCAGGCACAGAGCCCAGTCTTCTGAGACCCAGATCCCGGCCCCTCACCTGAAATCTGCCTGGAGGGGAGGAGGCTGCCCCTCCCTTGTGCTCTCCTCAGGCCAGGCCCGTGCCCTGGGCTTCCCAGACTCACCTGACCCAACAGTCCTGGGGCTCGCCATTGTCCTCACTTGACAAATGGAGAAATGGAGGCCGGAGAGGCCATAGGAGGTACCCAAGGTCACACAGAAAAAAGGGCAGGGTTGGAACCCAGACTGGGTGGCTCCTCGTCAGCCCTTGGCCAGGTTTCCCCGCCCACTCGGATTCAGGACCCTCGAGCCCGCGGGACTCCAGGCTGAGGCAGGAGGATGGCGAGTTCAAAGCCAGCCTCAGCAACCTAGCGGGGCCCTGTCTCAAAATAAAAAGTAAAAAGGGCTGGGGACCTGGCTCAGTGCTCAAGCACCCCTGGGTTCCATCATGGAACCAAGAAAAAACAAAAGAAGGAAACCCCTCCTGGAGCAGAGCATGGGGACACACTCCTGTAATCACAATGACGTGGAGGCTGAGGCAGGAGGATGGCAGGTTTGAGGCCAGCCTGGGCAACTTAGTGAGACCCTATCTCAAAACTGAAAAATAAAAAAATAAATCAAAAGGGCCGCGGCATTTCCTAGCATGAGCAAGGCCCTGAGTCCCACCCAGTGTGTGACAGGGACCCTGTGGAGCCTCTCTCTGCACCTGCTGCTGTGCAGCTTCCTCCGTCGTCGGAAAGACAGGAGCCGGCCGTGTGGCCACCACTTGAGATGGGATGTGGGAAAGTCAAAGCCCCCGGGCACCGAGGTCCCCGCCTAATCAGGTCACCCTTAGGGATCCCCACGTCAGCCATTCCTGGCCACCGGGTCCCCGAGCCCACCTCCCCCGAGTTCCCATCTTCCTTCCCATG